GAGATTGGTGCGAGGCTCGCTGCGCCGCCAGAGGTCGCGGCCATCGGCATGAACTACAGGGTGATCAACGTGGAAGAGCTGGCCCGGCGGTGGCCATCGACTTCGCGTTCATGGGCGAGAAGATTGGCGACGAGGAGGACCGCGAGGGCGATTTCCGGATGCTGGTCGCTAGGGGCTCCAAGACGAAGCCTCTGCGCTCTTCGGCAGTCCCCGGCCAAAAGGTGACCAATTTCATGGTCAAGATCCTTGTGCGCTTCATTTTGCACTTGGGCTACCGCAGGCTGATCTTCCAGGGCGATTGAGAAGCCGCGGTCGTTGCGCACAAGACGGCGGTCGCAGCGGCGGCGCCCACGGTGGGATTCCTACCTGGGAGGTCGCTGCCAGGAGAGCATTGAGGTTGCAGTTCGAGAGTTGAAGAGGCAGGTCAAGACCAGCAGGGTCGCGCTGGGGGCGAGATCGGCAGGAAGGCTCAAGTGGCCCCCGCAGTGCGCAGCGGCCTGCCCTGGCCGATATTGTCGAGGAGCTGACGGACTTACTGCCGATCAGCGGCGGTCTGGCCGCGACTGGAAGAAGCTGGAGGCCGAGTTCGGCGAGCGCGCGATGCACGGGCCGCTCGCGCCGTCGGGGGGGATGAGTATCATGGGGGAACGCATATAGACTGGGGGCTCTCTGGGCTGCCACATGCGGACCGGCGCCCTACTCGTCATGGCGGTCGACGGGGTCGAGAAGGCGCAGGGCTTCAAGAAGCTGCCGAAAGAGCGGGCTTGGGATGACAAGAGCTGGGGCGCTCTACGGGGAATGCCTTGGGCTACGCGTTCCGATGAGGAGGCAGGCGCCGCCCCCAGGACGCGGGCTGTGGCCGCCGCGAGGATGGGGCCACGAGCGTTGAGAGCGAGGCGCGCGCTGCGCCGCGACATGGAGAAGCACGGGGCGACGGCAGGTTGCCCGGGGCGTCCGGAGCTGACGCAGAAGGCCAATACTACGATGGTACACAACGAGGAGTGCCGCGAGAGGATCGCAGAGATGATGATGTCGGACCCAGAGAACAGGGTTCGATGGGCCGAACACGACTTTCGAGTTGAGGACGCCAATGTACCTGAGCCACGCGCTCGAGAACGAGCTGCCGCCGAAGGAGATCGAGCAGAGCAGCCAACACCTACATGAGGCGAAGCAGAAGGAGCTCTCGTCAGGAGGCCGGTTGGTGCCGCGGTAGCGGCAGCATCGGCGGAGGGCGATAGAAGCACGGGCGCGAACAGGAAACGCCGATTAGCTCTACCCGAGCCAGAACGAGTTTCTCGAGCACGAGGACCACCACCAGCGAGTCCATACCTGGGAGAGCGGAGGATAGGCAGGCACTCAAGCGAGCCCGGATTAAGCGGGAGGCGCCGATCGCGCAGGCCCAGATGATCTTGGATGAGGTGGTGGACACGCCACGCCCATGCGACAGGCAGCGGCGTCAAAGGCAGTGCCAACATCATCGTCGGTATCAGCATCAGCACCGAGTTTGAGCCCGAATCCGGTACAGAACCCCGCCATGGACGTAGACTTGCTGGAGGCACTGACGGGCGCTAACAAGGGCGGCACTTTCGTGGCGGTCTATGAGATGGTCATTATCGAGCTGAGGGATTTCGCCCGCATCGACGACAGCGAGGCGGACGCGGAGCAGGCGGAGGATCGCGCCCCAACTCACGGAGTTATTCGCGGTCGAGATTGCAGAGATCTTTTCGCCGAAGTGGTTCGCTGAGATGACGTTCAGGTTTGGCCTCGCACCCGGTCTGGCGGTGGACATCGAGGCTTTCTGGGATTTGCATCTACCGGAGCAGCGCAAGGCATTCATGGCGCTGTCGATGGGGGAGGACCCGCTGCTTACTGTAACCAGCCCACACCAACCTTCTGAATTTCTCTGACGCTAAGCGCGATCCGAAGGTCGTGGGGGCGGAGATATTGGAAGGCGAGATGAACTGAACCTCGACTTCAGCATGACGATCAGCAAGGAGCGCTACCAGGCAGGGAAGTTGTCCCGCGAGGCGCCGCGGTTGGCGAGGAGATGGCACCGGCCGAGCGACCAGGAGTCAATCAAGATAACGAACGTGTGCTTGGTCCATGGGCCGATGCGCCGCTGGCGCACGTAGGCGATAGGTCCCGGCGGCAAGCCGGGCTGCGTTCAGCAGGAGACTGCGTGGCTCACAGCGAGCTGCTGCGAACATCCTCCAGGGCTACTGCGAATGCCCGAGAGTCCCGGGTGGAGAAGTACCACGCCATGTGCATTTGGTCGATGGACGTGCTAGACGCGCACAGCGATTTCCTCCGAGCTTGCGCGAAGAACTACGACGACGTGAAGGACTTACTACACTTGCCGCTCTTTGCGGGGGACCTCATTCCCATGGGGAAGATGCAGAGGTGTTCGCCGAGTACCAGGGCGATTACTTCATTGACGACCTGACGGGTGACATCCTCGATCTCGAGGGCGTCCAGGCGGCGGGGCAGGACGGGCTGGAATGGTTTCGCGGGAGGTGCGTTCGGGAGAATGTACTCAGAAGCGACATGCTCGAGAAAGGCAAAACATATGTTGCCCTCAAGTGGGTCGACGCGAGCCAAGGAGACGAGCAACAGCCACGATGCCGACCAAGGCTGGCGGCGACGGATATCAAGAAGGCCGCGAGCCGAAGGCCGACCTGATGAATGCGAATTGTTCTCAGCGATGCCGCCGCTGGAGGCGTTCAAGGCGATGGTGGCGATCTTCCTGGGCCGCGTCAACGACGACTATTGCCTGGGGGACCAGGACGAGACCATCCACAAGTTCTACGACTTTTCGGGGGCCCACTTCTACGGCGAGGTGAAGTGCGAGATCTCCGTGGAGCTACCCGAGGAGGAGACCCACGACGATTCCGAGCCGATTGTGGGCAGGTTGGCTCGGACGGTGCGCTGCGCAGGTGATGCGAGCCACGTTTGTCAAGATGACTACACCGATGACTACATGGGCCTGACAAGCTCACGTGGTTTCAAAAAGGGCATCTCAGGCCCAGCGATATTTTGCCATGCCGAACGTCGGGTGCAAGCGGAGGTCCACGATGACAATTGCGGCGTTATCATGGCGAGGTTCCAGGAGGGGTGGTTTGACGAGGCCCAGTCGCGCCACGACTTCAAGGTCACCAGAGCGTTGAGCAGCAAGGCGGTGAAAGAGCAGAGCGTGGTCTACATCATCCTGGTCTAGGATCCATTGCAGCGTTCAGCCTACCTTGAGGCGGACGCGCGACGCGTCAAGAAGGTGGTCAGAGACTTGGGCTTGGAGGGCGCGAAGGAGGTGACTACGCCTGCGGTGAAGAGGTCAGCTTCCGATGTCGTGAACGCCGATCGCGACTCGCAGAAGCTGAGTGACGACAAGACCAAGATCTTGCGCAGCCTGACCATGAGGATCATGCGCGCGAGCATGAACAGGCCCCAGCTACGTCGCGGGCATGCGAGCCAGACGCATGAAGGAGCCGCAAGAGAACAACATGGAGGGTCTGAAGGGAATCGGCCGCTACCTGAAGAAGTACCCGGCACGGCCCCTGCTGTTTCCACTTGCAAGGGCCACCGGACCAGATCAGCGCGCACTACGACAGCGACTACGCCCGGGACCCGATTATGATAATGTCGAGAACAGGAATGGCAAATCGATGGGGATCGCATCTGCTGAAACATGGCAGTGCGGTCCAATTCATTGTGAGCCGCGGCAGCGGCGAGGCCGAATACTAATCCTTGCTGCGTGGATCCTGCCACGGCTTCGGAGTTCAAGCAATTCTGACGGACTTAGGCGCGGGCGCGAACGATGAGATGGAGTTGCCCGTTTTCAGCGACAGCTTCTGCGGCCAGAGATATTCCAGGCACATAGGGACTGGGAGTTGCAAGACATATCGCCGTGCGTTTTCTCTGCTTACATGAACGAGTTTCAAGTACGAGGACGTCGCTGAAGACGGTCGAGGGCCATTGGCATCCTGCGCATTTGTGCATGAAAGCTCGCGACCACGAGACGATGGAACGGTTGATTATCACGACGAAGGCCGACGGGATTGTGAGACACCGCGGGCTGTGATGACGCTGGTTGTTTGCGAGCGCTCTCGTCGTGAAAAGATTTGCGCTGGCCCCCTAGGCTTTCGCCTTCCGCCCCCGTCGATCTGCGACGCCGAAAGCAGAGGAGGGGTGTTCGGTTTTTTTGGGGACTAGTTTTTTTTTGGACCAGCCTGTAGTTTAGTGCGGTTAATTACGGAAGCCAGCGGATGTTTCGGGTTGAGAGCCGATCATTCCGGGTTCCGTTCAGAACGAGTCCTCCGTTCAGCACAGTTGAATCGTGCTCCGCCTGTAGCCCATCGTTGTTCAAAAGAGTTGAAGACCAAACCGCCGGGGCCTTTCTCGTACCGTAGTACCAGATGATTTTTAGAGTGTTTGAGGGCGCCGTGCGCCAGTGTTGTACCCAGCATAATCGTAGGACCCCCCAGTGCACTGCGGTTCGACTTCGTTCTAAACCGCCGTGCCGTAGCCAGACCGCCCGCGCTGGCACCCAGAAGGCCGCAGGTCCGCATGCATGTGGCGTGCCAGCGTTCGCTGTGTTCCAGCGAGGCACCTTGCCATACATTTAATCTGTAGCAATACATATATATATATTATATATATATATATATATATATATATATATATATATATATATATATATAATATATATATATATATATATATATATATACACATGCATATATCACCCTCCCACGATGGGCGTCCCCAGTGTTTATCCCCCCCCCAATGTTTATCCCCCCCTCAAGCTCAAGCTCGAGCGCGCTTCCCAAGCGATACCACCGTGCGGCGTCTGCGAGTGCCGCCCGAGCTTGCGCCTCATCTGCCACCAGCTCACGCAGCCGAGCGCCCTGGAATAACACTGCACCAGGTTACCAGCATCAGCATCAGCATCACCCCCTCCTTTCCTCCTTCCTCCTCCTCCCTCGGCCAGTCCTGCGCCCTCGAAGGACGGACGTCTACAGCGCGCAGCGTTGCTGCAGCGGCGGCGCTCGCTTCGGCGCGTGGGCGCTGCCCTCCGAGCGTCAGGCCGCCGAGCTGCTGCGGGAAAACGCCTCGGCGGCCGGGACGGCCTGCTGGCGCGTGGTGGAGGTCAGGGCCCCTCAAGCCAGGACGTGTCTGGCCACGCTGCCTCGGAAAAGCACTGCAAGGTTACTCGCCCACACGTTCTGTTTCGCTCGTCGCCCTCGGCTCTGTTTTTTGAATCGTTTGGCCGCTGGGGGCCAGCTTCGGGTCCCGTGTCTGAGAGGTCTCCGCTTGGGGGGCCCTGCGGAGGGCGTGTCGATGTGCGTCAGTCGGGCGGCGCTGGGGCGGCTCGCGGCTCCGGCGGCGCGCCGCCCGGCAGGCCCTGAGATCCAGGCGCTGCAGGTTTGTGCACGCTGGACGTCTTCGCGCCTGGTATCAGATCGTGAATTACCTACCCCGCTTTCGCTTCCAGGCAAAACCAAGTCATACCACGCGCCTCCTCGTCAAGCGGCCTGACCAGTACAGGCCGTAGTTTGGCATCGTTTTGTATCTCTTGGAAGCGAGGGTGGTCAAAAGCGAGGTAGGTTTGTTTTCCCCCTAGGGTATCGGGCTCGCGGACCATCACAGCGCGAGCCCACGGACCATCACAGAGAGATCCGGCGCGAAGAGCGCAGCAGAAGGCAGAGGTTCAGGCCTCTTGCCGTGCTTTCCCGCGATGCTGCATGGTTCTAGGCCTAGATGGGGTCCGAGTAGATGGGGTCGGAGGATCGTGTCACGTCGCCGATACATCGCCGATGCGGCTCGATGTGCAGCCCGACTTGCTTCACGTCGACGTCGCAGATGCATCGCCGACGTCGACGATGCATCGCCGATGTATCGACGATGCGGCGCGATCCTGCGACCCCACCTATTCCGACCCCGGCTAGCAGGCCTCTGATGTTTCGTCGCAGCGTCGGAGGAGGAGGAGGAGGAGGAGGAGGAGGAGGACGAGGAGGAGGAGGAGGAGGAGGAGGAGGAGGCTGAAAAGGTGCCAACGCCGCTGCTCGTCCTCGAGGGCCCTCGTCGCCACGGCCGGAGTCGCCTGGAGATTCGGGCCACGGCGCGCCGCGGGAGATGGAGGGTTTCTCCGAAGAGCTCGGGCGACCCGTATTCCTCCTCTCTCCTCCCTCTCCTCCTCCTCCTCCCCCTCCTCCTCCTCCTCCTCCTCCTCCTCCTCCTCCTCCTCCTCCTCGCCCTCCCCTCCTCGGGTCGCCTACGGCCCCGGGGGAAGCCGTCCAGCGGGAGAGGCCCAGGGGGTGGCGGTTTGGGGGTGCTTTTCGCCTCCCCCACAACGGGGCGCGATCCGCGAGCGCGGCGGGCGGGGAAAAGGCAGGCGCGGCGGGTGCGGAGGAGCGGGGCGGTCGGGGGCAACGTCAGGGAAGGATGGGTTCAGGGGGGGGGGAGGCATCGACCCCCCAGCCGCTCTTGCATCGCCGATGGGGGCCTGAAGGCCCACGTCGCCCAAGACCGTGCGGTTCTGCTGTCGGGGGCCGGCCTGTCGCCGATCTGTCGGTGCTTCATCGCCGACGCCAGGTCGATGTTTGCCCCGCCCCCCGCCCTAACGCTGCACCTCAGAGAGAGAACGGGAGGCGCAGGGAGAGGCCGCGGGAGGGGGGCAGAGGGCGGGGGGGTGCAGGGGGCGGGAGAAGCGGGGAGCTGGGGGGAAGGCTGGGCTCGGTTGGACTCGCCATTGCAGCAGTCTGCGCGCCGTCGTACACAAAGGTTGTCCAGGGGCACGATTGTAGCAGCCGCCACCCTCCCCGGCGAAGGAAGGCCGGGTGGGGGGCGGGGGGCGGGGAGAGGGCTCAGTAGCCTTTGTGAGCGAGCTCGGCCCCACTGCGCATCGTCGGCCATGTGCCCAGCACTGCGCATGGGAGCAGGAGGAGGGGGAGGAGCGGAGGAGGGGGAGAGGTGGAGGCAGGAGGGGGAGGGGAGGTGAGGGGACGCGAGATAGGACCAGATAAGGGAGAGGGAGCGGCTGGCAGTATCAGTGGCAGAACCCTCCAGCTACTCCGCGGTCGTCCCCCATAGGTTGTTCCGGAGAAAACCTGGGTGACAGTACCAGCGGTAGGAACACGCAGCAGTAGCACTGACAGGAGCAGCCTTGGTCATGGTAACGTCTACCTCTAGACGTCGTAATGTCATGAGGAGGTGTGTTGCAGCATCAGCAGCAGTAGCAACAGTCACATAATCATGATAAGGTGCAGCACCAGCGATTAGCCTATCGTATGTTCCCAGGGCCTCCGGGTGCCTCCCCCCCCACGTCCTAGGGCTCCCCAGGGCCTCCTAGGCGGGCTGGCGTCCTCTCACCCGTTCCCCCCCTCCCCCCCCCATCCCGTTCGGGAGGTGGGGCCCGGAGAGCCTTGGGCCCATTGGCACTGGGGTAGCTGCGAACCTTGAGGCGCATTCCTGTGGATGGGGGTCTCTTTGCCCCTGTCGCACTTGGAGGGCTCTGCCCCCTCGTCATCACCCCTCGTCTGAGCAGACCAGACGCGTGCCCTGAATCCCGCTTCGGGCCCCCTCTTTGCGCCTCTTCCCCTCTGTTGCGCCTCCCTCCTTGCCGGCAGAGCGGACGGGGCGGATGCCCAGAGGCCTCGAGTGGCCCGTGGTGTTCGTCGCCCGCTGGAACCAGGGGTTCCTGCCCATGGAGGCCACGAAGACGGAGGAGTGCTCTGCCAGGGAGAGGGAGGAGCAGGCTTTTGAAGGAGAGCAACCCGCATTCACATGAACTTTTGGCGCTTCGCCCCGACCTCTTGCCTTCGTTCTCTCTCTCTCTCTGTTCTTGACGGAGGGCGAGGAGCAGGCACGGGGGAGGGTCGGGGAGACGCAGGACTCGAGTGCACGCCGCCTGCGCTTCTGGGCGAGCCCGCCCTGGACTCCGACGGCCCCGCTCTCGTGGGATGGCTGCCGCGAGCGGGCGCCCAACGGCAAACGTTAGGGTGACTCTCGCCGTGCTCCCCACGGCCCGAGCCTGACGCCTCCCCGACGGGAGGAGGCCGCCCCGCGCCCGTGTGCGCCTGCGCCTCGCCCGGGACGGAGGAGGGGTGCACTCCCAAAACACCGGCGGAGCTGGTTGGGCAGCCGATGGGCAGGAGGAGGAGGAGGAGGAGGAGGCGGAGGAGGAGGAGGAGGAGGAGAAGAGGAGGGGGGGCAGCCGCGGTGGGAACCAAAGGACGGGGACGTCGAGGATGTGGATGAGGAGGAGGAGGAGCAGCAGCGGGAGGAGCAGGAGGAAAAGGGGAGCAGGAGCAGGAGAAGGTTGGGCCACCTAGCGAGCGGCCTGCAATACTACGTGCCTGCCAGTTTCGGCGACTCCCTACCCTCCGTCCTCTCCCATCCCTCCCCTCCTCTTCCTTACTTCTCCTTTTCCAAAAAGAGAATAGACTCTACCCCCCCCCGGAGTTATCGCCCCCCCTTTCGGGTATGTAAATCACATATGATTCTGACCACATGCCCATCCCAAATATGAAATCACAATGTCCAAGGCCCACCGGTATCCGCCCCCTGAGGGTTCCTTGTAAAAAGCACTATGCGGTGACATTTTTTGTTCTAACATAGCACTTTTCCACGAATCCCTTGCAAAAAATGGGACGAAGTGCACACGCGCGCGCCGTCGCGCGCGCATGCCGAAATCCTTCAAAAACCTTCCGTGCCGGAAGGATTTCGCAATCGAGTTTCCAAAACACATACAAAAACACAGGGTTTCGCAACACTGATTTGCTACAACAGTTTCCGCGTGAGGTCTTGCGAAATCTTAAGAAAACCATAGGTTATTCCAGATTTTCACAAAATGCTACCAAACGGGCTTTGCGCGCGCGCGCATGTCGAAATCTGTCGAACGCCCTTGCGCGGGTGCCGTCGCGAGAATCCACTGCAAAAAATGAGACGAAGTGCAGACGCGCGCGTCGTCGCGCGCGTATGCCGAAAACCTTCAAAACACATCGGTTTCGGAAGGATGTCAAAATCGTGTGTCCAAAACACATACAAAAACACAAGGTTTCGCCACACGAAGTTTCAACAAAAGCGTGCGCGCGCGCTCTTGCGTCGTCGTCGTCGTCGTCGTCGTCGTCGCCGTCCTCCTTCCTCCCGCGTCGTCGTCGTCGTCGCCTACGTCGTCCTCTGTCTTTCCTCGTGTTCGTCGTCGTCGTCCTCTTTGGCGTCGTGGTCGTTTCCGTCGTCGTTGTCGCCGTGGTCGTCCTTCCTCCTCCTCCCTCGTCGTCGTCGTCGTCCGTCGTCGGCGTCTCGTCGTCGTCCCTCCTATTTCGTCGCCGTCGTCGTCGTCGTCGTCGTCGTCGTCTTCCCTCCTCCCTCGTCGTTGTCGTCGTCGGCGTCGCCGTCCTTCCTCCTTCTTCGTCGTTCGCGTCGTCGCCGTCCTCCCTCCTCCCTCGTCGTTGTCGTCGTTGTCGTCGTTGTCACCGTCGTCGTCCTCCCTCCTCCCTCGTCGTCGTCTTCGTTGGCGACGTCGTCGTCGTCTTCGTCGTCGTCGTCGGCGTCGGCCTCGTCGTCGTCGTCGAAGTCGTCGGAGACGTCGTCGGCGTCGTCGTAGTCGTTGTCGTCGGTGTCGTCGTAGTCGGTCTTAAGAGGTTTTGCAAACCAAGTTGCGGGTGGGTGGGTGGGTGGGATGTTTGCAAGAACGTGGGATGTGTACTGTAAACTTATGGGCAAAAATCGATCAACTCCCTCCCATACTCTCCATCCCTCCTCTCTTCCTCCCGCCCCACTCCCAGCTTCCCTCCTCCCCCTCCCTGTTTCTCCGCCCCTCGTCTACATCTCTCTCTCTCCCCCCTCTCTCTCTCTCTCTCTCGCTCCGCGCCTCTCTCTCCGCTCCTCTCCCTCCTTACCCCCTCTGCACGGTGTCCCACATGCATGCTGCTCCAGTCTCTCCCCCGACAATGGGAGGAGGAGGAAGCGGAGGAGGAGGAGGAGGAGGAGGAGGAGGGAGGAGGAGGAGAATTGCAGCGGTGTTCCCATCTCTCTCGCCTGCTAGCTGGCGGATTAAACGACAGGGTGTCTGAAGGGCTTTCACCCTCTGCCGCCGCTCTCCTCGGATCGGCTGCGCGGCCACGCGCGGTCGATAGGCTGGTTGGTTATCTCGGCGCTCGCCTGGCTGGCCACTGGGCGGACGGTCTCGTTGTTTTAGCTTCATGCTTGGGGCAGTTGGTTCGATGTCTGTTCATGGGAGCCTTGGGCGGCGACACTGCAATCAGCTTTTCCTGCATGTGGACCGCGTGGGAACCGCGTTTATCCCATCCTCCTGCTCCTCTTCTCCCCTCCTGTTCCCCCTCGCCCTTCTCGTTCTCCTAGTCCCCGCCAATCCAATCCAAGTCTGGTCCTAATCCGGTCCAACTTTGCTCCAAATCTGGTCCGCATCAGGCCCAAATTGGACAGCGTTGGGAGCCAAGCAGGCTCCCATGGAACGGACACCAAAAGTTGGTTCGGGCTGCTTGCTGGCTGGCTGGTTCTGCGCGTTTGTAAAGTAGCGACAAAGGGTGGTGTCTCTGGAGCAGCGCTTCCACTGTAATATACGAGAGGTCGCGTCTTCGGGGGCGGGCGGCCCTAGCAATTTTCAAGGAGTCATGGCTGCCAGAGGCAAACTCTCAGGTCCCAAACTCACATCCCCACACTGAAAGCGACAGCTTGCAGCTGTGGAGCACGGTGCGCTCTTTTGGGCAGACTCCTGGGGGTGTCTTCGTTGTCTCGGGGGCACCTGTGTCCCGTGATTGCTGTGATGGATTGTGGCGCCAGGGGCGCGAACCAATAGTAAGTTACAGTGTATCAGGGGTTGAGGCCTCGGGACTCTCAGCATGTTGTACTACGCAAAGGGTTTTTGGAATCGGGAGCATGAGCGCATCGCGATTTACGAATAATTGAGGCCTCGGGGACGTGGGCCTATAGCAGTTACAAGGGAGGGTAACCTCGTGAGCACGAGCGCGCAGTAATGTGCAACGGGCTGCGGCATTGGAAACGAACATCTGTAGCATGCAAGTAAGAATTGTGGCATCGGGAGCGCGAAACGGATGTAATGCACAACGGAGTGTGCAACGGAGTGTGAATGGCGGGGCCCGAGTCGGGCCCGAGTGCCAAGTGAGTGGCAAGGATTTGTGATTGCGAGGACGCAAGCGCGTTGTATGTTGCAAGTGCTTGTGGCCTCGGGAGCGCGAGCGCGATGTGAGTTGCAATGTGAGTTGCACAGGGATGTGGGATTGGGGGCACGTGCCTGCAGCAACTCAAAAGGGATGGTGGTGTCGGGAGCGCGCAGCAATATACGAGGGTCGTGGCCTCGGGACCTCGACCGAGTTGTAAGCTACACTGGGGTGTGGCCTCGGGGTCGCTGATCTGCTGGGATTTACGCCGGGGCACCCTGTGCGTTCCGAAGATGTGCTTCTGGGGGCGAAACTGGCCGCGCTTCGGATGCTAACCATCGCAACCTCTGGAACTAGAGCATCGAACATCGAGAGCTCTCTCTCTCTCTCTATATATGCATATATATATATATATGTATTTATGACAGAGAATTGGATGTGCTACGGGGAACAGGGGAACTCACAGGGGAGGCGTTTGGCGCCGCATCTGCAGGTGCCTCGCTTCGCGACTGGCTGGCGGTGTTCACGCCCCGCGACCTGGGGTGGCACCTCGCAGCGCGACGGGTGATTGCGCGTCGGCGGGGGTCTCGCTCTGCGACCAGTGGAGGGGATCGCTCCACAACGGGGGTGGCGTGGCGCGTCCCTGCGCGCCTGGGCGCGCGCGCGGGGGGGGGCAGGTGTCTTGCGCGCGGGGGGGGCCGCGTCGCATCGGCTGCTCCGCCTTGGGCGGCGCCTCCAGGCACTGGCGGGCGCTGTCCAGCGCCAGGTGCGCACGGTGCAGCCCTGTCTGCTCTCTCAGGAAAGTCCTCCGCGAGGAGATCCCCAGGTTCCCGTCGGAAGTCCTAAGGACTCCTCGAAGGATAATCTGGGATCCTTCTGAGCATCCCCATCGGATTTCGAAGGATCTCCCCATGATGTTGGAGAACATCTCTAGAGCTCCCCTGGATATCCTCCAGATTTCATAGGACGTCGCCAGGATTCCTCAGGGGATTCCCAGGGTTCGGAGGAAGTCTGCAGGACGCCTCAAGGCTCAGGGATTTCTGTGGGTTCCCGAGGAATCCTTCGCGATTCCTGAGGACATATGCGTTTGGACCCCCTTGCGGTTTCTCTGGAAATCCTCAGGCTTCCATCCTCAGGATTGCAGAGAGGGCAGCTGTAGGCAGTCGTGAAGCTCCCGAGGGTAGCGCCAGGGGAACCTTCGGATCCGTGAGGCTTCCCAACGAAGTCCCCCGAGCAGGAACCCCAAGTGGCCTCCCCCCCCTTGGTAGCAGCAGGCCCGCTGGCCAGCTTCGCCAGGGGGGGGCGCTGAAGCGCTGGAGTCGTCTGTCTCCTTCTTGCGTGCTGGAGCCCAGCTCGGGCGCCCCATCGGGGCCGTCCGGAGGCTCTGCCTGAGGCTCTGCTGCGCATCCGGCGAAGGAGGCGCAGCCCGCGTCCTGCGTCGCTCGGAGGGGGGCGCGGGGAGCCTCGCCCGCCCCGCCGCTCGCCTGGCGCTCCGCGGAGCCGTCCGACCAGCGCTCTCCCTCGCGCACCTGCCTGAAGGCGCGTTTGTAGGCGAAACAGGAGGTGAAGGATTCGGGGCTCCAGCGACGGTGGTCGGGGCAAACGGGGGTCGGTCAGAGCGCCGGATCTTATAGGATCCTGCAGAGCCGGGGTTGCACTGACCCGGGCCGGGGTGCAAGGCGCTGCAGGATCCGGCAGGATCCTGCCGGATCCTGCAAAGTTTGACCGGCCCGGTTTTGGATTGACCATCCCCTGTCCTAATCCTCATCCCCCGTCCTTCCCTTCTCCCATGCCGTCCGACTCGTCTCCCCCTCCCTTCCCTCCGTTGCCGCCTCCCCGCCATCCCTAATCTTCCTTCTCCCTCCCCCCTCGCGTCCTCGCCCGTGTCTCTCTCTCGCCTTCCCATTCGTCCCTCCCTCCCTGCGGGGGGGGGCCAGAAAAGGAGGATCCGAAAAACATGTAAGGCTAGCGGGGCCCGGGCAGGAACAACCCATGGCGGGCCGAGGTGCCAAAGCGAGGTGGGTGACATTGCCGAGAAGGCCCATCCAAGCCAGAGCTGAACAGCAGACCAGGCGGATACTCCAGACGGACGCCTGAGGCGAATTTGGGTTGCCAGAGGAGCTCCATTTGCCTGCCTCCCTCTTGTCGCCGCTCACCACTCCGCGCGCACGCGGCCGTTTGGGCTTGGAGGCAGGACACTTCCCCGGCGGCAGCCCGTAGCGGGATTCATCGTAGGTGCCTTGAACTGGGGATCGCGCTGCTATATCGAAGAGTGGAGGGGGGTGAGATGGGGGGGGCGATATCTGCGATGCGCTAACTCCTCCTCCTCCTCCTCCTCCTCCTCCTCCTCCTCCTCTCCTCCTCCTCCTCCTCCTCCTCCCCTCTTCCTCCTCCTCCTCCTCCTCCTCCTTCTCCTCCTCCTTATCCCCTTCTTCTCCTCCTCCTCCTCCTCCTCTCTCACTTCTCCTCCTCCTCCTCGTCCTCCTCCTCCTCCTCCTCCTCCTCCTCCTCCTCCTCCTCGGTCCACTGGACCAGGCCACGGTTAGGGTGATTTGCGTTGATGGTTGCGGTGCTGCCCCGTAGCCCCATGGTTCTGCTATGCGCGGTTCATTGTTGTAGCGCCTATCTTTAGGTCGGGCCTGTCCCGCTACAGGAGGAATATTCAAAATAGTCAAAAGTCTGGGGACGATTTGTTTTGACGATTTTGGCTCATTTGGGGGTATTCTCCGAGCGCCCAACATCCGCCTGTAGGGGGACATGCCCGACCTAAGCCTATCTCAGCGACGCGCAAGTATTCACGCGTGTAGCACGCTTCCGGCGAACAAGTCTTGCAGCAACGAGTTTCTACAGCAGTGATGTTCTTTGTCTGGGGATGCAGTTGACCTGGTGCCAGTTATGTTGCACAGCGTAGGGCCGCATTGGGGTGCAACCTATGAGGGTGCACCCTGTGGGGGCGCTTGGCTCGGACGTGCTTGCTTATCTTGCAGGTCGATGGCCATTAATGACATTGTCCACGGGAACTTATACGTTGACTCCCCTGGGCGACAATGCTCTGAACAGCATTGTTTGGGGAGAGCGGCTGGGCGAGCCTTGGGTTTGACTTGACGATCTAACCAGCGCCCCCCCCCCCTTCGCCCCGCCCCTTCGGGAGAGATTGTAGGGGCATCTTTGGGCTCTCCTTCGACCATCTTCGGAGGCAATGCCCGCCTCTTGGCCCGTCCCTCGTCTCCCTTTCTACAGTTACGCGCTAGGAGTCAGTTTATATTCTCTCCCCCGCGTGTGTGCTGAGAGCGTCCGCGGCCCCCCCCCTTCCGCGTACTGTTTGTGTGGGCGAGTCGGTCCTTCTCTAATGGTCTGCAGACCGAACGTCCGGGTGCTTCCTCGTTGTCGCCGCCGCCCTGATGTTTCCCTCCTCCGCCCTCCCCTGGCTCTCCTGCCGCTCTGCTCCTCCCACTCCAGTTCCTGCTGCTGCTGTTCGTCATCCTTCTCCTGCGTCGTGATGCTCCTCCTCCTCCTCCTCCTCCTCCTCCTCCTCCTCCTCCTCCTCCTCCTCTTGCTCCTCCTCCTCCTCTTGCTCCTCCTCCTGCTCATCCTCCTGCTCATCCGCAGCGTGTTCCTCCTCTTCTTTCTCCTCCTGTGTGTGCAGCTCCCCTTTTCCCGACTGCGCCGCACAGCATGATGATATCGTTTCTGGAGTTCCAGGTCCGCTGTGACACGCGTGCGCGGATAAATCAGATATCAGCGCCATGGGAAGGGATGGAGGGGGGGTGGTCGGATGTCAGGTGTGGCGCCAGCGCACCCAGCTTGCCCTTCTCCCCCTCTCTGTCCTCCCCCTCCCTCTCCTCCTTCTCCTCCTCCTCCTCCTCCTCCTCTGCCTCCACCCCTTCTCCGTCCTCCCCCTCTTCCTCCTTTCTCTCCTTGCCCTTCTCCTCTCCTCCTTTCCCCTCTCATCCACCTCCTCCTCCTCTCCTCCTCCTCCTCCTCTCCTCCTCCTCCTCCTCCTCCGCCTCCCTCCTCCTCCTCCTCCTCCTCCTCCTCCTCCTCCTCACATCGCCCCTCGCAGGTTTCAGCGCAATCCAATTATTCTGACAATATTCTGCCTCCTGGGGCCCCTCAACGGGCTCTGGGACCGTCACAAAAAGGGCTCAGGGCGGAATGCCGGCCGCGGGGAAGTTGTCCAAGCCTCCAGGGATCCACGCACCGAAAGAATCGGAGCGCCAGATGTCTGGGCGTCAAGTGGCCGCCACCGTATCTGAGTCGTGGACGGTGGGGTTTCTCGGAGGCCCCTTAGGGTCCCTTTGAGGCTCCACTTGTTTTGTACCTGTTTGAACTATGTGTTTACGCAGCGAGTATGGAGTAAGCACACCAGATGTGATGGCTTGCTCCCTCGCCGAATGTGGCAGGTAGTACGTGGCAGATGGGAATACAACGCATATGAATGGATCGTAGCAGGGAATACGACGAAATGCTGTCACGGACCACGTGACATTCCGAGTCTCTAAGATGGTCTCTTGGTGGGGGCCTGCTGGCGGTCTCGGAGGCCATCGTGGGGGCGTTGCCTCCATGAGCCACGCCGTTGCTCGCCGTGCCCTCCTGCACAAGTATCTGCCGAGTCGTCAGCCCGCCCCGCCGCTGAAATGCCCTCGCTCAAGGCACCGTTGGAGTCTCCTCGCCTCCCCCGACTACCAGGCAGGATGAGCTCGATGGCTACGTTCGGGAGCCCAGGGGGCGAGATCGACACGGAGTTTCCCGCACGCTTGGCCGCGAAGGACACCAAGACCGCCGTGAACGAGTTCTGCCAGCGGTTCTGTCACAGACCGGTGACCAAGGAGGACCCGAGCATTTTCTTTGGGTCGAGGGCAAAGCGTGCAATCTGACATTTCTTTTCGATTGATTTTCGAGGCTTGAATCTGCGAAGGGTGAATCCCAAGATGGATTGATTGTGAGGTGCAACATCCCATATGGATTTCACCCTGAGCCCTCCACCCTAAGAAAATGCTCAGAGGACATCCAGTATGTCGTGCAGAAGTACCCCGGCGGGTTCCAGGCCACCGTGAAGCTGAATTGCATCGAGGGGAAGGATCGTCGGCGGGCCCAGGGGTGGAGGGTTTCTCCGAAGGGCTTAGGCGACCCGTCCTCCTCCTCCTCCTCCTCCTCCTCCTCCTCCTCCTCCTCCTCCCTCCTCCTCCTCCCTCCTCCTCCCTCCCTCCTCCTCCTCCCTCCTCCCTCCTCCCTCCCTCTCCCTCCTCCTCCCCCTCCCTCCTCCTCCTCCTCCTCCTCTCTCCTCCCCCTCCCTCCTCCCCCTCCCTCCTCCCCCGCCTCTTCCTCGACCTCCTCCTCCTCCTCCTCCTCCTCCTCCTCCTCCTGTCGCCTACGGCCCCGGGGGAAACCGTGCACCCAGGGGGGGGGCACGTGAGGTGGGGACAGGCCTTCTCGGAAGCGGCGGGGCTCTGTAGAAGCCCTTGCGCCGCATGTGCCCTCGGACAATCTAGGCGTCCTAGATGGGGTCCGAGTAGATGGGGTCGGAGGATTGCGCCGCATCGCCGATGCATCGCCGATGCGGCTCGGTGTGGAGCCCATGATTACCCACGCCGACGTCGGCGGTGCATCGCCGACGTCCCCGATGCATCGCCGATGCATCGCCGATACATCGGCGAGGCATTTGTGATACGGCGCGATCCTTCGACCCTATCTACTCGGACCCCATCGAGGAGGCCTTTATAGACAAGGCGTGCAAGGCTTCTGGGAAGGCACGAGGGCTTCTGAGATCGGGGAACCAGCAATTTCACAAACGCAAGCTCTCGGAGCTCCGCGCGGATCGGCGCTGGACCCCGTTCCCTAGCGCGTGGAGCGCGCCAGGGGCGGCGCCGGAGGCGCCGCCAGGGGACTCCAGTGCCGATTCAAGAAGTCCGCGCGGACCTCCGAAAGTTTATGTGAATGCCAGGATTTGTTTCCCCAGTATCAGGCTTCCTAGAAGCCACGAGGGGTCCTGAGAAGCCCCCCCCCCGCCGTTTGAGAAGGTCGGTCCCCTCTCGGCGCCGAGAGGAGTTCGCGGGCGAGCTGGCCCCGACTCAAAAGGAAGCCGAGAAGAGCGCCGGGCAGCAGGTCCTGGATTTCTACGCCGAGCAGATCAACAACATGCCGAAGCTGACAGGCCCCGTGGCGGCGCCAGCAGTCTCGACGAAGTGTCACAGCAACAAATACATAAACATACTTACATTTGCGACGGTCCACGCAGATTTCCCGGATCTGCGCTGGAGGCGCCGTCAGGGGGATCCAGCGCAGGTCCCAGGAATCCGCGTGGACGGTCGAATGTTTGTGTTTACGTCGCGTCTTCCTCCGCTGCGATCACGCGCGCCCGCACGTCCAGGCCCTCCTGCTACCGCAGGGGCCGTCGTAGACCCGGCCGCACGCAGAGACGCGCGCGTGCTCGCACGCTCCTGCAGTCGGGGTGCCGAAGAAGGAACCCTTTTCGTTGGGGACGGGCTCAGGGCTCCTTGATGGTTAAGAACAGGCATTGTGCCTCAGGTTCGCCTGAAGTGTTCCATGGGAAGCCGAAGTTTCACTCATGGGGACCAGGGGCCTCGTTCCTTGCTTAGGGTTCCTGAGGTCGACGCCCCGGCGGTACGCGTGCTGCTCGGCAGGCGCGGGCGTGCGGGGGCGGGCGCGCGGGCGTGCACTCGCGGCGGCGCCCCCCCCCCCCCCCCCCGCGCCGGACGCCCGAGGCGCGGAGGCCGGCCCGCCCACGCTCGGATCCCGCGGCGGTTCGATTCGCCGGCCGAGGCCGCGGGTCCGACACAGAGGCGACTGGGACAGGCTCACGGGGGGCGTCAGCCAGGGCCAGCCGCAGCCGGTCGCGGCGACCCGATGCCGATGCGGCTCGGGAGGCGCCGCTGGCGATCCGACCCGCTTCCCCAGCTCGGGCCTGCCAGGAGAGGAGAGTGGCGGCCGGCTGGGCTGTTATCCTCGGACGGGGCCAGGACGAGGACAAGTCAAGTCCGTTCCAGAGCGTTCCCGAATGCTCCGAGAGCGTTGCGGAATGCTCTGGGAAGGCCGCGGCGCCCGAGACATGCTCCAGAGCCGCCGGATCTCAGAGGTTCTCGCTGCATCCTCACGCGATGCTGGACTCGTCCTGGCTGCGTCTTGCATCCCCCCGCCGCGTCACGCCTCGGTTGGGATGGCTCCTCCACGAGGCGCCTGCCGTGCTCCCGCTCGGCCAGCGAGCGAGCGGGGAGCCGCCGCGAGAGGGAAGCCACAGCCCAAGGGCGGCCGTGCTTCGTGTGGAGCGGCCGCGAGGCAAAGGCGGCGCCAGCTCGACAAGGATGGGAGCTACTGCCACTCGCACCTCTCAGGAGCAACGTTTGGGGGGGGGGGGCATAGCCGAAGAAGAAGAAGAAGAAGAAGAAGAATAACAAACGCCATAAGCATAAACTGTTGGCGCTCCGCGCGGATTTCTGGGACCCGCGCTGGGCTCCCCCCGGCGGCGCCTCCGGCGCCGCCCCAGGCGCGCTCCGCGCGCCAGGGAGAGGGATCCAGCGCAGATCCAAGCAATCCGCGCGGAGCGGCAAAAGTTTCTGTTTGTTACAGTTTTTTCTTCTTATATCAGGATCGGCGCAGGGTGAGATGCATCGACTCCAATCGCCCACTGATCGCCGAGCAGGGCCGGATAGCCATCGGGAGCCGATCGCCGATCTATGGGCGACGCATCGCCGATTCCAGATCGATGATCCCCCTTCTGTGAGCCATTCCCCCTCACTTGCCCCTTCCACGACCACGCGCAGGGGGGGAGCAGTGGCGGCGCGCGCTCGCCAGCGCACCTGACCAGTTGGGCCAACACATCGAAGATTAGCGAGACCGCTGATGAGAGTTACCACCAGACGTTGTTCGCGCGAGCACACACGCACACACTTTTACTCCGCGGCGGGCTGGTCCAACCCAGTGAGGCGAACAGCGGGACGCGCTATAGGTCATCATCACCGAGTTTGGTCGATGGGGAGGCAGCCGCCGAACGGTCCTGGCGCGCGGGGACGTGAAGAGGGGCGTGCACGACGTCGGGCCAGTGCAGCGCCCAAGCAGCCCAGGCAGCTCGTGGAGGAGCAGGGGCGCGAAGGGCGCGGACCCAGGGAGGCCGGCCGAGCAGGAGGCAGGGAGCGCACCTCCGCGACGGGTCGGGATGCCATCGCGCTGCCCCGCAGGGGCGAGCCGCGTGCGGATCCGAGGCGCGACGCCCGATCGGGGCCCGGGCGGTACGGCCGCGGGGGGCAGACGAGAGAGTGCGCTTCGCTGGCGCAGGCGGCTGGCGTCGGCCCCCAGGTGGACAGCCCGGGAGAGCACCAGTCAGGAGGGAGAAATAGACACAGGCACCAAGAGTCGCCCATCCAGGGAAAGATGGAAAAACGTGTTGCAAATGAAAGGGGGAAACAACAAATCCATCAAGTGTGTAGAAATAGGGGGGGTCCTGAGATTTGGTCATATCGATGTGTGTGCCCCTGAGGCGCCTTTGAAAAGTGGAGAGAAGAGGCGGCGACGCCCGGGAATCTGGACGGACCCAGAGCTGGGAGAGGAGGAGGGGAGGGAGCGGCAGCAACGACCCGACGGCCAAGAAGGGAGGGCGACGCCACAGGCGACCGCCCGAGGCGCGGGCAACGGAAGAGCAGACGAGGGACGCACGACGGCGGGGGAGGACGACACATCCGGCGGCGCAGCCGAGCACAAACACACACACACATACACACACACACTTGGCGTCGCGGCCCCTGGCGCAGCGACAGGGCGTCCATAGTCGGAGAAGAGAACGCGAACACACGCACGCACACACCAACGCACGCACGCACGCACGCACGCACGCACGCACGCACGCGCACGCACGCACGCACGCACGGACGCACGCACACGCACGCACACACACACACACACACACACACACACACACGCACCCGCACCCGCACCCGCACCCGCACCCACACACACACATTCGCGCGCGCACACACGCGCGCACACACACGCACACGCACACGCACACGCACGCACACACGCACACACGCACACACACGTCCAAAGTTGGAGAAGAGAACGCGAACACACACACAAATATACACCACGCCTTGGATGATGAGGGGGCAGAAGAGGGCGCTCGAGCAGCATGTAGCATCTGCGTATGTATACTCACGTGATTGCTTCGAGATCCCGTCCGAGGCAAGAAGAAGAAGTCCTCGGGGTCTGGCCTGGGAGACCCAGCCGCGAAGGTGCCCATTGGGTGGAAAGGACATGCGTACCCCTACCTCTGGCATGTCCGCTTTCTCCGTCTCCTCTTCCCATCCTCCTGCTCCACCTTTATCCGCCCCTCAATGTTCTCGATGCCTTTCCCCGAGGTTGCCAGGATCGGAGAGCCAGCAGTTGTCGGCGCTCTTAGTCCGAAGAGCGAGTTGAATTCGACTTGTTCCAAGATAATGAGGTGCGTCATGGAGAAGGGCCACGTTGTCTACGAAGCGTACCAGGTGGGCATGGCTCCGGATCCGCAATCTTTGCGACTCTTGTTTTCGGAGGGCACCCTCCCACAAAGTCCAATCAGGCCATCAGGTGGATCCACCATGCAGGTCTCAGCCAAGGGAAGGCGGAGCCGTCAGATGTACACAAGGTGAATTTGTCGGGCAGGTCTAGCAGCTGGATCTCATCAGTTGGTTTCGGGTCGCGCGAGCTCGGGCTGGGATGTGTCATCTGTACTGGGGGCTGCGGGCCAGACTGCAAGGCGAGGTCTTCTCCGCAAGCCTCTTCCGCTCCAGAGTGCGGAACATCTGTTTTCACGTTGGCGGTTGGATCTTTGAGAGTTGTTGTGGGGGCACGGAGTGGGCAGCAACTCTGGAACTGGCGGATCTCAACATCCAACTTTGCCGAAAACCTTCAGATCAGCAACCTTGAAGGACCTTCAACACACCCCCTCCAATTCTGGGAAACTAGTTATTTGTCGTCGGGGTTATTGACAGATGGGAACACCAAAGGAGGTTGAACATAATCCTTGACGCTTTGCGTATCCCCTCCAGTTTTTTGCCTGTGTTCAGACTCCCTGGATGCGCCGTTGCATGTCTCGTCCTGGGGCTGCCCTGCAGACTCCCTGGATTGCACGCCTTGGCTCAGACGCCCTGGGTCGCTGCTGCCTGCCGCCTGACCGCGACCTCGCGCGCGCCCGCCGTTAGTCGCGGCCGCAGCCCGACCGCGACCCCCCGCCGCTGGCGCTTCCGCCTGCGGCTGTAAAAAAAAGTATCCCCACCAGCTCATCAATAATTGATTGCCAGTTTTCTTGAGGCCTCTTGGAGGCTATCTTGAGCCATGCTCGGCTAGAGGCTGTCGGAGGCTACCTTGAGCCATGCTCGGCTATCTTGGGCCATCTTGAGGCTGCCTTGAGGCCTCTTGGAGGGCTGTCGGAGGCTATCTTTAGCCATGCTTGGCTATCTTAGGCAATTTTGAAGGCTATCTTGGGCTATCTGGGGCTCTCTTGGAGCCATCTTGGGCCAAAAAGGGCGGGGTGGAGGGTCTTTGGGAGAGGCTGGGAGGCCTCTTAGGGGCAGTCTTGGGCACCATGGCTCAAAAAGAGGGGGAGAGAAATTTACCCCCCCCCCCCCCCCCGGGAGGCTCTCAAACGGCATCTTGGGGCCCTCTTGGAGCGCTCTTGGGCGCCTCTTGGGCGATCTTGGGGCCGTCTTCGGCTTTCTTGGGCCCCTCTTGGGTCTCTTTTGGGCAATCTTGGGGTCATCTTGAGGCTTCCAAAGCCCATCGGAAGCGAAAGGGCGATAATGCCAAACACATTGATTTTCCATCGGTTTTTTAACGGTTTTGGCATCTTGGAGGGCGCCGTGGAGGGCTCGAAGGGCACTTGGATCCGCCTTGGGGCTGTCTTTGGGCATGTAATGTGGCCGAAGCAGCGGTCGAGAAAATGGTGAGATGATCGGCTGCGCTTCGCGCCTCCATGTCCCGTGGCACGGGGTTGCTCCAGAGGTTCACGCATATGTTTATGCCCCGCCGTCCACCTTATTATGAATTCATACCATCCCAACCCAGCCGGTATCGACCCACGCCGCGGAGCTCCCTGTGGGGGCGCGAAACTTGTGAGGTGCGTGCCGAAATGGGGCGGCGGTGCCGTGCGCGAACCCTCCCGCTGGGGCCTTCGGTAACGCTCCCTACGGGGCCACGGAACTCGCGAGGAGGGTGCCGAAATGGGGCGGCGGTGGCATGCGAACCCTCCCGCTGGGGCCTTCGGCGGAGCTCCCTGTGGGGGCGCGAAACGTGTGAGGGGTGTGCGGAAATGGGGCGGCGGTGGCATGCGAATCCTCCCGCTGGGGCCTTCGGTGGAGCTCCCGATGGGGCCGCGAAGCGCGAGGGGGATGTGCCGAAATGGAGCGGCGGCGGAATGCGAATCCTCCCGCCGGGGCCTTCGATGGGGCTCCCTATGGGGCCGCGAAACGTGTGAGGGGTGTGCGGACATCGGGCGGCGGTGCCATGCTAAGCCTCCCGCTGGGGCCTTCGGTGGAGTTCCCTTTTGGGGGCCGCGAAACGTGTGAGGGGTGTGCCGAAATGGGGCGGCGGTGCCGTGCGAACCCTCCCGCTGGGGCCTCAGGTGGAGCTCCCTATGGGGCCACGAAACGTGTGAGGGGATGTGCCGAAATGTGGTGGCGGTGCCATGCGAATCCTCCCGCTGGGGCTTTCGGTGGAGCTCCCTATGGTGCCGCGAAACGTGTGAGGGTCGTGCCGAAATGGGGCGGCGGTGCCATGCGAACTTCTGCTGGAGCCTTCGGTGGAGCTCCCTATGGGGTCACAAAGCGTGTGAGGTGCGTGCCGAAATGGGGCGGCGGTACCATGCGAACCCTCCCGCTGGGGCCTTCGGTAACGCTCCCTACGGGGCCACGGAACTCGCGAGGAGGGTGCCGCAACGGGTGTGCGTGACGCATGCGGGCTGCGCCACGGGCGGTCGGTGGAGCTCCCTACGGGGCCACGGAACGTGTGGGGGGCGTGCCGCAATTAGTGTGCGGCACGCATGCGGGCTGCGCCGCTGGGGCGGTCGCTGGAGCTCCCTATGGGGCAACGAAACGTGTGAGGGGTGTGCCGAAATGGGTGTGCGTGACGCATGCGGGCTGCGCCGCCGGGACCTTCGGTGGAGCTCCCTATGGGGTCACGAAACGTGTGAGGGGTGTGCCGCAATGAATGTGCGGGACGCATGCGGGCTGCGCCGCTGGGACCTTCGGTGAAGCCCCCTACGGGGCCACGAAATGTGTGAGGGGTGCGCCGGCATGGGTGCGCGTGACGCATGCGGGCTGCGCCACTGGGACCTTCGGCGGAGCTCCCTATGGGGGCAACGAAACGTGTGAGGGGTGTGCCGAAATGAGCGCGCGTGACGCATGCGGGCTGCGCCACTGGGACTTTCGGCGGAGCTCCCTATGGGGCCGCGAAACGTGTGAGGGGTGTGCCGGCATGGGTGCGCGTGACGCGTGCGGGCTGCGCCACTGGGGCTTTCGGCGGAGCTCCCTATGGGGGCAACGAAACGTGTGAGGGGTGTGCCGAAATGAGTGCGCGTGACGCATGCGGGCTGCGCCACTGGGACTTTCGGCGGAGCTCCCTATGGGGCCGCGAAACGTGTGAGGGGTGTGCCGAAGCGGGCGTGCCGAAGTGGGCGTGCGTGACGCATGCGGGCTGCGCCACTGGGGCTTTCGGTGGAGCGCCATATGGGGCCACGATCATCGTGAGGGGCGCACCGACGATGATGATGAGGAGGAGGATGATGATGTTGACGGTAATGATGGTGGCGGCGATAACGACGATGATGACGACGATGATGGTGATGATGACGATGATGAGGATGTTGATGTCTACGATATCGATGATGATGATGATGATGATGATGATGATGATGATGATGATGATGATGATGATGATGATGATGGTAATGAGAAGGGGAGGGAGGGGGAGGGGGAGAGGAGTGACGCGGAGCACTGTCCCTTCCAAACAAGAACCCAACACTAAAGGATGGTAAGGGAAAACTCGTGGTTTCGCAACGCGGGTTTTCAAACAAAAAACGCGTGCGCGCGCGCTCCTGTGAATTCTCAAGAAAACCAATGCCTTTTTCAACACTTGCAGGACATACTTCCAAACGGGCTTCGTGCGCGCATGTCGAAGTCGTTCGACCGCCTTTGCGCGCGTGCCGTCGCAAGAATCCCCTGCAAAAGAACAGGGCGAAGTACGCGCGCGCGTCGTCGCGCGCGCGTGCCGAAATCCTTCAGAAGCCTTCGGTTCCGGAAGGATTTCAGAATCGAACCCCCCAACAAATTCAACACACACAACGTTTCGCAACATCAGTTTTCAAAGGAGGCTTCCGCGCGCGCTCTTGCGAATTCCAGGGAACGCCATGGGTTTGTTCCCATCTTCATACAAATTCTGCCAAACGGGCCTCTGGCGCCGCATGCCGACAAAATTCGCGCGCCCTTGCGCGCGCTGGGGGGGAAGGGCACCATCCGTATCAAATAGAACCATGCGGGCCACGCTCACGCGTCGGCCGCGCGCGCATGCCGAACTCTTTCCAAAACGTTCATCGCCGACGCGAGGACGCCGTCATCGCCGCCGGCGTGATCAGCAACGGCGCTCGCATTGGCCGCGCCTTCGTTGGTGCGAACATCATCACCAGCATCGCCACTATCATGATCGCGTCTACCGTAGTCGGCGTTGCCATGAAACCACGCCCGCCCAATTCACCGACTCACACTGACGTGTCCGCTGGGATGTGCCGAGCGGTCAGCGCCACCGCGGCCGCGTCGGTGGCGCCAAACTAGCTGGCCGCTGCGCGCGCGTGCAATGGTTGGCGCGGTCGCAGAGATGCACCAGCCAACACCAAGCACCCATCGCAATCGCCACCGCGTGGGTTTTGCAAACCTAGTTGCGCACGGGAAGGTGGGATGTTTGCAAGAGCGTGGGATGTGTCAGTTCATAAGTAAATATCAATTGCACCACATAGATTGGACCGCGTAGATTGCATTACATGGGTTGCTTCGCGTATATTGCACCACGTATATTCTCTTTTCAAGAAAAAATCAGACTCAACCTACATATGAACCGTACCATCCCAGCCGAGCCGGTATCCCCCCGTCACTTGTTTGAAACAGAATACTATGCGCGCGCGCTCGTTTATCATTCGTAATCACAAATCTCGTGCAGAAAAAGGGACGAAGTGCGCACGCGCGCGTCGTCGCGCGTGCATGCCGGAATCCTTCAAAAAGTGTCAAAATCGAATGTGCCAGCAAAACATATAAACACAACGTGGTTCCCCAGCACGTTTTTTTGTGCGCGCGCGTCTTGGAGGCCTCTTGGACAATTTTGGTTTAATCTCGGGCGTCTTGGAGCGGTTTTTGGAAGTGCCACGGCTGTTTCGGGCTGTTGGGACCTCTTGGGGACCTGTTGGCCCGTTTTGGAATCTTCTTGGGTCCGGAAAAATCATTCGAAAATATGCCAGGAACCCCAAGGGCCATGCGACAAACTCCGCGAGATTTGGAAAGTTGGGCTCCGGCCCGTAGAGATTCCTCAGGCGTGTTTCAGGTATGAGGCGAAGGACCGGGGACACGCCCACTCCGTGCACAGCGGCACGGTGGCCGATATAAGGAATTCTTCCAAGAATTCCAAGGCAATCCTTGGGAACCGTTTGGGAATCTCCAGGAGATTGCTCTAGAGGTCTCGAGGGGATCTTTCGGGACGATCAAGGGGAATTCTGGGACGCTCCAGAGAATAGTAAAGGATTCCTGGGGCCCAGAAGGATTCACTGGGGAATTGTAGCTTATGGGAACTGTCGGAATCCTCATGCTCCTCATTGTTCCTCTTTGTACGCGCAGGCCGAGCAGGAGATGCCCCAGAGGGTTGGGGGACGAGGGAGACGACGAGGGG